GACTCCCGCCGCCTCCTCCTCCTGCCGTGGCCTGGCTTTGCCCCATCTCCTCGCACCCCAAAACAGCCCCTCGCCCCTTTCCCTGCCAACAGCCCATTCTGCTGCGCTCCCTCCCCCCGAAAAAAAAAAAACAACCAAACCCTCCTCACTCCCCCTCTCCAGCGCTGGCAGCTGCAGGATGCAGACCCCAGCCTGGGCCTCCTCCCTTCCCCACTGAAACCCTGTGCCCCACATTCGGGGGGCAGCCACCCCCTCAGTATTTGGGGAAGGCAGGTGCTGGTCCCCCCATGGCCCAGGAAGGGGGAAAGGGCCCTTCTCCGGGAACTCCAACGAGCGCAGGCGTGAAAAATTCACATGAAACCTTCTAGGAGGGACCAGCAGCACCCACTGGTGTACAGAGCTACAAGGTGGGTGCAAACCATCACCACAGCTCAGTGGCCCGGTTTTAAGGTGGGAAAGGAGTATTTTGAGGAAATGCTGGTATCTGGGAGGTGGAGAATTAAATTCTTAGGGGTCTTCACCCAGGGACTGACACCAACAGGGGTGCATCCCCAAATCCCCTCCTCAGTCCCTCACAACACTCATTGCTGTTTGAAGGATTTTGCTTTTTGTGAACATTCGTGCCGGTGATTCTGTTTCCCGAGTGACTGATGTCAAACAGCCCCCTGAGGAATCAAGGAATTGGGACAGGGGTGTCCCAGGGGTGGCAAGGGTTGTACTCACGCAGCTCATTTCAGTTTCTCACCCCTCTGCACATGCCGAAGTGTTGTGAAAACTGTGTCAAAGGAAACATTTCTCCTTGCAGGTTTCTCCCACAGGGCTCAGGATGCTGGTGGCACCGATGGGACGTGCTCAGCCAGTGATGCCCAGTGTTGTAAAAGGAGCCTCCAGCAGGATTTGGGGGCGCTTTAACAGCCCACCGTGGGGGTTTTATCCCCCCTGCAACCCAGGTACCGACCCATCCCAATGGCAGATGTGTGTTAGTATGAGAAAGAGCAAACGTTGGGGTGTCCTCACCCGTGACTCTCCCTAGGTTCAAGCCCGGGGACAGGAGGTCTGAACCCCCAGAGCTTCTGTCCATCTGCCTCCACAGCAGGAGGAGACAGGGAAGACCCACTGGAGGAGATGTCGGTTTCCTATAGCACATGAGACATGGGAAGAGTTTCAGAAATCCTTTGTTTCATACCCAAACCCCAAAGCTTTGGCTGGGATGGGCGGGGGGGAAGATCTCCACCAGTCACTGAGCCACTGCTCTGTGACAGCTTCTTGCTGTAACAGCAGCCCGGGTGAGACACAGACAGAGCCCAGCTGGAGGAAAAACAAACTGGAAGTTTCAAACTCCATCTCTTCTACTGAGCAGCACCCGATTGGTGTGGAAAATGGGGTGAAATCTGTGATTTGGCTCCCCTGAGCAAGGGGCCAAGTCTGCTCCCATGTTGCATCCTCTCCCCTCTTCCACCTGGAAATAACCTCCTGGCTCCTCAGGTCCAGCATGCCCCAAATTTATCCCATCTAACCACAAAAAACACCCCACTTTGCAAAAAAAAAAAAAAAAAAAAAAAAAAAAAAAAACAAGCCCCCAAAATGCCCACACCAGCATCATTTTCTTCCCCAGAGGAAAGCAGAATGATTTGGGCACGTTTTACCCATCCCGCGTTAGATTTGCAATCCCTGACACTTGCCATTTCATGGGCTGCGTTGATGTTTGCTCTCTGGGGGTTTTATTTCTGCCCTCTTTTTTTTGTTGTTTTTGTTGTTGTTCTCGTTATTTCCCTTCTCTCCTTCTTAGAATAAACTTGATGTCTTCTCTGCCAGTTGACCGGAGGCTGCAGCCAAGCAGAACCCATTAGTGCAGCGCTATAGATTTTCGACCCCCTGAAAATCTGCTGCCATTTTAAATAGAGCATCTATTTATTTCACTCGGCGGCGTGTCCTTTTGCTGTCAAGGAGACAAATTATTCCGGTCCTGTGGCAGAGCTCACGATAATGTGGCAGAAAAGCTTTGAGAACAATTTATACCAAAATACATCTACCTGCAGAGGGGCAGCCCAATACCTGTGGATACCCCAGATTAAATCCAAATTTCAGCCCAAATCCTTTCCGAAGGGAACTTTTTTATTAATTCCTTGCAGAACAAATTATCTGGCCCAACCCCTCATTGCCAAACGGGCGTCTCTGAAATATTTAATGTGACCAGGATGTTTTGCAGCCCGAGAACCAGCGTGGAGGGATGTGCAGGGCTGAGTGTGTGTGCCCCGGCCGATGGGGCAGTTGCAGTTTAACTCCTTTGTAATCAACCTGCTTGCTGCTGGATTAATTTCATTCCTTCTGCTTGTTCGCCACAGTAAAGCCAGCACTGGAGGAAAGGGAGGGAAAGGGCTTTGCACTGAGAAGCCTGCTGGAATAGTTGAGGGTTTTTTATATTCAGGGCTGCTGTATGCTTAATAAACATCTTTATTATCAGCCCAGCCTTGACTATAAATAACCAGACTTGTATTTTAAGGTGCCTAACGCCAGCCAGCCACCCGGGATTGCACTCCCTAAATCTGGGCCGACCTGGAACCATAGGAAATGGGCTATTTCCTTCCCCCCAAGCAGCAAAAAAGGCTTTGGGAGAGGCTCACAGGCTTGTCTCGATAGAAACACATCCCTGCTCAAATCCTGCCCGCGGCGGGTAACGCCTGCCCGTGTGCCTGGGCGTGCCCTGCAGATGTGTACGGGGAGATATCGGTGTATAAAACATACAGCTGTTCCTCCCTGGCCCTTATTCTGTGGAAGAGGTGTGGATAAGAGGGGTTGGGTGATTCTTGCCTCTTGATCTCCCCAAATAATTCAACTTCACGTTTTCCCCTCAGTTCCCCCGTCTGCAATTTCCAATCTGCCCCAAGGGCCGTGTCTCTGCCGGCTGGGTGCAGGGATGCAGCCCGGGCTCTCCATTCCTAACCTCTTTTTTTTTTTTTTTTTCCCCCAACAGGTTTGCAAAGCCCCAAGCAGGGCAAAGGATTCCAGTAATGTCCAGCCACAACTCCAGAGCATTTCCAACCCTGCAGCCTTTGAGCACATGCAACTTGAGCCCATCTTTCTCCAAAGCCAACGATAGTTTTGCTCTTAAGTCCAGCAGGAGCCAGGTCAGACCTTAATTTTAACCCAGAGGATAATTCATTCCGCTCAAAAATTCAATTCAGATGAACACTTAAGTGCTTAAAATTTGGGTTTGTTCCTGATTTATGCTCCTGACAGTGCTGTATCCCTGGTGCTTGCTCTGACAAGATCCCACCGTGTTATTAAACACCTCCTTGGATCCATTCCCAGCACCAGAGGAGGGTCCTACATCCCCCAAATGTCTTATCTCCCTGTGTCCAGCTCTGGTCCCGCCTCTGTGTGAACCGATCACCATTATGTCATCTTAAACAATATGGGTTGGTTTATAAAAATTGGCTTTGTCTGATTATAACAGTTGTGGCTCCACAAAAGGTTCAACGTATATTCAACTTGGTTATACCTAAGTGCAAAAGTATTGGATCAGACTGTAGCTCCACAGCCAGTAACGCTGAATTGGGAAGTAAAAAATCTCAATGACATCCAAAAGCTATTGGGAGCAATTAATTCGGTTAGGCCCCATTTAGGATTGACATCTTCTCAACTGAGCCCCCTAATGGAATTATTGAAAGGGGATTCTGATATTTGTGCATCGAGACAGTTAACCAAGGAAGCACATCAGGTACTCACAGAATCCCAGAATCATGGAGGTTGGAAAAGCCCTTGCAGCCCCTCCAGCCCAACCATGAGCCTCCCCCTGACCGTTCCCAACTCCCCCAGATCCCTCAGCGCTGGCTCAGCCCGACTCTTCAACCCCTCCAGGGATCCCGGGGACTCCCCCCTGCCCTGGGCAGCCCATTCCAACGCCCAACAGCCCCTTCTGCACAGAAATCCTTCCTGATATCTAGTCTAAACCTTCCCTGGTGCAATTTGAGGCTATTCCCTCTTGTCCCTGTTTTGGGTGTCCCTGAAACAGTAAAAACTGACCGTGGCCCTGCGTATGTCTCCAGACTGGTTTGGGAATTTCTACATAAATGGAGGATTCAACACGTTACTGGCATCCCACATTCCCCTACGAGACAGGCAATTGTCGAACATGCCCGTGGGACCTTAAAACACCTGCTTCAAAAACAAAAAGGGGGAATGGAAGGGGAGCCCCCAGGGGCCATTTATGTATTAAACTTTTTAATGGTTGGACTGGATGATCTTCAAGGTCTTTTCCAACCTAGATGATTTTGTGATTTTTAACCATGCCCAAGGAAGGGTTGGTCCCTCCCATCGGGAGACATTTTGCCTCTTTTTCTTCAACTCAGGAGGTGTGAGGCACTGCCTTGGTGCGTGTTAAGGGTTTACAGACGGGGCAGTGGCCTCAACCTTATAACCTGGTCACCTGGGACAGGGGTTATGCTTGTGTCTCCACAGAACATGGGCTGTGTTGGTACCCTGCCCGTTGTATTTGGCCTGTTAGGGCTTGTTGACTGATGTTGCTAGCGTTAGGCATGCTTTTTTTTTTTTTTTTTTTTTTTTTTTTTTGTTATTAGCCCAAGGACATGGTTCTGAAGACTTTGAGGGAATGTGTTGTATGAATTTGTCGGATCACTCGGAATCAATACATAAAACATCCAGCTTCTGAAAGGAGGAGTGAAGAAGTTACAGGCAAACGATGGATGGAATTGGTTGAATCACTTGTTTAAAGGATGGGGACTGTCAGGGTGGCTGTTGTCTTTGATAAAAAACCAGATTGTTGGTTTCGTTCATCATTGTAGTTGTGTTATTAACGTTGCCACGTCTTGTGGCTCTTTGCAAAGGGCCCCGCAGCGGGTGGCACAGGCCATTTTTGTGGCAGAAATACAAAAAGGGTGAATTATGGGAGACCTTGGCCAGTCCGAGGGATCAGAACGTAGGTTTGATATTGACCTTGGGCAGATTACTGTGTACCCTTAAGAGGCTTGAAAGTCCCAAGGAGAGCTGAGTAAACATGAGTAAGGAACTTCCAGACCAGAACTGCCAGACTTCAATGAGAGGAAGGTTATCGAGGTGGCAACAGAGGTCATCCAGTCGTGAACTGTTAGTCTCTAATTAAACCAGTCATATATGGACACGTACTCTTGATAAAGTTATAAAAAGGTTTGTGAGAACAATCGTTTTGCACGATTCGGTGTTTGTCGTGTCCGTCTCAACGGCGACAATTAAACACCTCCTTGGATCCATTCCCAGCACCAGAGGCGGGTCCTGCATCCCCCAAACGTCTCAGCTCCCCACGTCCCACCTCTGGGTGGGGCAGAAGACCCCCAGGCAGCCTCTTGCTGCCCCACACGTGGCTTTGGGGTCTATTTTGGGCCAAACCCTCCCAAGGGACCCCCCCACCACTGCCACCAGCACGTGGGTCGTTCATGGCCCCCGTAGCCCCCCTCAGGACCCCCCCGATTGCCCAGTTTCTCATGGCTGTGTGGCTGCTCCATCTCCAGAGGAAAAGGGGGGCCCTGGTGGGGGTGAGAAAGGGGGGCTGGGGGCTGCTGGATGCCGATTCTATGGTGGGTCACGGCTCCCAGCATCTATTTTTTTTTAGGGGGGGGGTGTAAATTGCTAAAATGCGATATTTCCCCCTCCAACCGACATCTTAGGAGGCTTCTACCCAGCCGAGCCCACCGCCCCGGCCC